ACAAGTCCTCTCAAGTGATTGACAATAGCAGAAGAGAGGTGGGAGATCCTCATATCGCCCTACCCAGGGTATTCACCCTCAAAACTGGAATAGAGCTGTGCAGTTAGTGTAGTGGGACTATACCCATACAACCTGCTTCCACACCCACCCCTAAAGAACATGCAGAAAATTTTAACCACATATTAAAAGGTAAACTACATAGATGGCTGTCCTGAACACTAGGTTTAAACAGATGCCAAATGAGGGAGGAAAAAGTTAAAGGGGCTAATGCTATAAAAAAATAGGCCACAAGAGATGCTTTCCACCCAAGACATGAAAATGTCTTTATCTAACACTGCTTCTAATAATCAAAACAAATATATGTTTATGTAATATTTTACACAAGCAACATAAATTTAGTAAAAAACTTCAAATATGCGGCATTCATACATTTGAAATCAGACAGATAACCACAGTTTCAACTTAAAAAAATAAAATCGTAAAACACTCCAGCCAAAAGAATAACCGAAAATAAGTTTCCCACTCTTCACTAAGTAAATATGAAATCTGAAAGCTCCAAATCTATCATTTTCAGTTGACAGATTCAAGAACGAATTTAACGAAAGAGTAAAAACAAAAATAAAAGAATCTTCGATCTATTTTTATAAATCAAATATGACAAATCTTCTAAACAACTTATCCATAAAAAATATCCACACCTCCATACACTTAATCAACAAGAAAGTTACATTTTTAAGATCACATTCGCTCATTTCATGCTGGCGTTAGATGTTAAATTTAATAAGTTTACGGAGAAAACACATACCAGATGTCAAATGAAGAATACCATGGTATCCAATGAAACCTAATACAACAAAAACAGCACATATTTTAGCATTGCGGGAATTAATGTGCTTTGCGATCTCACGAGGATCATGAGTATTCATCATTTATCAACTTGATTTTTATGAACTCACAAATTTATGTACAACAGACTTGAAATATACAGAAAAATTCGAGCATAACATAGAGTATACATTCCCTTCAACAGCACCCTTTTCGTCGCAAACATACAGACAAAACAGACACCATGCACACCGAAAAACAACCACAACGAGCGCCTCTGTTATGATAACCAAAGGAAGAAAAGAGTTGAAAACTTTAACCATTACTTTCCCCACTTTTTGCCGTTTATTTCTTGAGGGCGCTACTGTTTTGTTTCATGCAGACATATAATAATTCTTTGTTTGTGACACTCAAAACACGGAATATTAAAGAGCAGCTTTTTACTTTTTATTTGCAGAAAATTCTGCTGCTTTCATTCATGTCAATTTTTTGGAATTATCCAGAGAGTTCTAAGTAAAACTTCACTTACATAGCTGGCCGGTCTTGTCTATTAAGTAATTACGTTAAAAATTTGAAATGGTTTATGTTTTAATCACAGAAAGCACTAAAACTAAGCAATGCTTCAAATTTTATATAAAAGCAGTTTCCTCTTTACTGCACAAACATAAAAGTTTAAGAGTACGTAACTAAAGCCAGAATTTAAATTCTGCAGGAACCCAGCTCCAGAAATTCTCAGTTTTTTAGGAAAATCGTAATTCCAGCTGGAACTCACCAGAGCCCTAAATAAAAGGGCTCTGGCACTTCCTTCATGTAATAAGTTAAACATAGTTTCAACAGGCAAAGTTTACTTCAATAAAAGGTGTGCGTTAAAAATCGCTTACTTCTAAATGCATATTTGTATTTTTCTGAGAAACAAACATTTAGACGGAGGTTGAGTCTTTTAAGTAAGGAAAAGCTTCCATCCATATATCAAAGATTTATGATCCAGGTAAGGCAAAATTATGACAGAGAAATTGTATGTGCTAAAGTGATCACCTGAATCTTCCAGAAATTCGCATTTTTTTAGGCAAATCGTAATTCCAGTGGAACCACCAGAGCCCTAAGTAAAAAGGCTCTGGCACTTCTTTCATGTAATAAGTTAAATATAGTTTCAACAGGCAAAGTTTACTTCAATAAAAGGTGTGCGTTAAAAATCGCTTATAACTTCTAAATGCATATTTGTATTTTTCTGAGAAACAAACATTTAGACGGAGGTTGAGTCTTTTAAGTAAGGAAAAGCTTCCATCCATATATCAAATATTTATGATCCAGGTAAGGCAATGAATTTATGACAGACGATACAATTGTTATTCCCGAAAGTGCTAAAAGTGATCACCTTGAATCTTCGTCGTGCACGACCAGCGTTAGTAGCCTCCAACTGAACTCCTGCAGACCTTTGAACTATGTAACGAATTACAGAACTATGCAATGAAACTGTCAATGGCGCAGATCTTACATTTGTTTTCATATTGTTATCGGATCTGATTCAAGGAATTTTTTTTTTCTTAATCACATTTTGCTTAACAGCTAGAATTTTACCGGCGTGGCATCACGGTCAGAAAGTGCTGGACACTTCTCCCTTTGTATTCAAAGCTACGATTATACGTTAAAATTTCATTCCATATTGTCATACTCTTTCCAGCATTATTTTTATACTAATAAGCGAACCTTTAACCGTTTACCCATTGGTGTGATGAAAAATGAATGGTGTTTATTTATCTCATGCCTTGAAACAGTACGTTATACCTCATATTCAGTGCTTAAATTCCTCCGGAGGCTGGCTGAGCATTTTTTACTTTTTGAATGAAATTGCAAGTAATGACGGAGCCCCAAATGATACGATATTTTTTCTTTTATTTAACTATTTGGCATGAATTTAATAATTTATTAAATTTTTGTTCTTTATTTAAATTTTTCTTCAAAACCTTTAATTTAAGAAAACGTCCCTTTCTTAAATTAAAGTATAAAATATGAAAGCTTTCAGAATTAATTATTTTATTTATTTATTTTCCTGAGAAATAATTTTTAAATGCTGCTTTCTGTCAATCTGCTGAAAAAAAGAGAGAAAGAACTGTTTTCTCTGAGCTTGTAATTACTTACGTTGTTTTGGAGGTTAGAACAATTACAACATTCCATATTAATTGTATATTCATTCAGTTCGTCATGGCTACTGCTGTTACCATTTCGAAGTTCCAGATATGCCTTTGTAGAACTTAAATTCTTAATTCCATCAAACGCATTTTATATTTTTTCTTTTCTGTTGCCTTTGCTGTCTACATGTATTCTGATAAATAACAAAGTCAGGTATATTAACAGTTTGGATAGAACATTTTTATCGGTAATTCTAACAAACTATTTTTAAGATCATTCCTATAATCAGACTCATTGAAGTTATTGTTGCATATTCTAACATTCTTTGTGTGGACAATATGCGCTGTTTGACATCTGTGCAGCTATTCTTTCATTAACTGAATGCAGAGTAAGAGAAAAAGTCAAATGCGAAAATCGTATTACGAAAAGCTGGCAAATTATAAGGGAACCAAGACTGAAAACACAACTGAACACTCTTCAACGTGACATCAAGAATGACTTTACTAACTTTGAGGCGCAACGCAGGCGAAAGTTCCTCAACTCTCTCGCAACAGAAGATAATTAACTTTTTAATATTGCAAAGAAATTTAAGAAACTTTTCAAACGAATTCATCCGCTCCCTTTTGTCAACGGAATGGTGCATTCAGACTAAGACAATGCCAACACTTTTACTTAAGGCTCCTCTAGGTATATAGTAGTAGCCTTAATCCTAACAACCGCATCAACTCTCTTAGATGCTCTCCATTTCCCAGAGAAAAACACAAATATTCATTTGACATTCTCCCTCCTTTACATTTTTTACTCATTCTAGACCCTTCAAGTCATTTATTATTTTGACCTTCCACAAGAAAACGTCGTCGACCGATGGCGGTCACTTGATTTAATACGAGGGCCATCCAGGAAGTAGATTACGTTTCCGTCTGTGTCCGCTAGGGGCGGGGCTAGCCCGGCCATCTTGGGGTCAGAGCGTTGCGCAGCTCAGTCTGCATCTAGCCGTGCTAGTGAGAGGTTCGTGCTGTGCTCCGTTCAGATACTGTGACGGTTTGAAATGTCTGCGTTAATTGAAAATCCTGCGAGGTGCGCTCAGTAATAAGGTTTCTGACTGCAAAAAACTGTAAAAACCGATAGAAATCTATCGGCAGCTTCGTGAAGTGTATGGGGACAACATTATCACTGAAGGTGGAGTGCGTCAGTGGGTCATAAGATTTCAAATGGCCGACCAATGTTCACGACGAAGATCGAAGTGGGAGACCTAGCATAGTGACCGCCGAACTTCTCGAAAAAGTCGATGCTAAAGTCCGTGAAAATCGAAATTTCACAATAACGGAACTTTCTTTGAGTTTTCCACAAATTTCGCGAAGTTTGTTGCACGAAAGCATCAGCGAAAAGCTTGGTTACCACAAGTTTTGTGCAAGATGGAAGGCAACAAGGTAACGAGTGGTTGAAGGCGCAGGCGGCCGAATTTTTCGACGAAGGAATTTCCAAGCTCGTACATCGCTACGATAAATGCCTTAATTTGTATGGTGACTAGTAGAAAAGTAGTATTTGAGTGTGGCTTTCATCTGTATATAATAAAATTTGTTTCCTATACTTTGTTTATTTTTTTATTCCAAAACGTAATCTACTTTCTGGATAGCCCTCGTACTTTCGTCTTATTTTGTCCACACTAGTCATTTGTTTCACTGATAATCTTCACCGGATGCAGAGTATAAGAAAGCACTACTTTCTTATTATGTTCTTATTAGTGGTCTATGCGCAAATCGAAGATATATCATGTTTGTTTTATGATGCGTAGCACCGCAAGTAGCAACGACACAGCTTATGAATACTTCCTTAAACCGGAAGAGCAGAAATAGTTTTCAGTTTTGCTGTTAACGTTAGAGGTATATCCAATGTCTATACAAAGCCTACATAAGAGAAAAATTCAAGGTCTTCAGAGCTTCTATAAAGAAGCTCTCTGCTATAGACCTTGGGATATACATACAAAGACTTTGATACATATGCGCAGGTGGAAATAATTATGCAACAGCATTGGAAATCTGGCAATCAGGATTAAAGGGTGTACTTTTTGAAAGCGTGAGCGACGTTGATCAACTGGGAGGAATGTTGTGATTGGAAAACGAAGTGTATTTTCTACTGTTACAAAAATTTGAACCGCATCCACTGAGATGACGCTGACAGCAGCTTTCAATAAATTGTAATCTTTTCCATATTTATTAAATGAAATACCTTTCCTACTTGATTTATTGCGTTTGGCATTTGCTAAGCGCGCTGTAATGAGAAATCGGCATGTTGTGCAATAGGAAAAGTGTATTACAAAAATATCATATGTGATACACTTTTTCATAATCCTCAGCTAAGCATGTCAGAACTCGCTAATATTTTATTTTCTCTTGAATAATAGTTATTTTCTTTGACCTGGATTTCGTTCTCCCAGTAGAGTTTTAACTTTTTTCTGTGCATGCTTTTATACTTCTAGTTACAACAACAAAAAGGTGTGTGTGTGAAGTATTATTAGTTTTTGCGTAATTAATGTGGAAGCATTTAAAATAATGTTACAGTTAGATTCCCGAATTTGAAAGTGCATATTTCACGTTGGACAAATTTTGTGAAAAACCTATGCCTAGTGAGTCTCAAGCAGATTTGAATAATATTTAAAGGCAAATAAAAGATAAAAAAAGATAGACAAAACGCGTACTGTTTTTATAGAAGAAAAATTTTTATCCAAACTATACAATTTTCCTCATATTGCACTTTTGACACCTGCTTCACACAAGTGCAGTAAGATGAAATTAAGTGTTTCTCTGTTTGATCTGTTTAATATTGTGGTTATTTTTCTGTATTTAATGACTTACATCGGCTGTGAGCTTATGCACAAAGTACTATTGTGAAGTTTAAATAAGCAATCATCTGTAGTGAAAGAATGAATTAATGTATTTTGCATTAATTCCTCTGGGGTAAATTATTTTAGTTGACAAACGGCTTTCAGGAATAAAATTAAGTTCATGAACTGAGGTTTCACTGTAATGTGTAGGGCTGTAATGTAGAATTGGGTGTCACTTTGATTGGTGACAAATTTTGTTTAATTTTGGAGATGAAACCCCATTTCTGGTTACCATGATACTTTTAACTTTGTTTTAGCTTCCTGATTTTATTCAAGTGAAAATAGATCGATGTGTACATGGACAGAGTTAAGGGAGTGTGCAGTGCCTAATTTGTGCAATTCTCTGATGTTTTTTTAAGTGAAAATAGATCGATTGGTACATGGACACCAAGTTTGTGGAATTCTTTGACTTGTTCTTTTGATTTTGTGTAGCGGCTATCTTGCTTTCCTGGTACCGATCTTGGCATCATAAAAGAATAGCCATAAGATCAAAGGGCACCCAGTTGTAAACTTTTAGCAATATAAATTTTATGTGATGCATTATGAAAATTGATTAAAATTTTTATGACTTTTTTTTTTTTTTTTTTTTTTTTTTTTTTGTCGTTTTGAACAATGACACGGCTGCCTATACCATGATGGATCCACCTGCATGCTTGGTTGATGGAAGGAGACAATCACGATCATATGCTTCTACAGGTGCCCTCCAAACATGTACCCATCCTGTTGTAAGGAAAAGTGTGAAAGATGAGATGATTCGTGTGCCCATATAACTGTTTTCCACTTATCAATTGACAAGGTTTTGTGGTTGTGGCACTATTGTAGACGATGTTTGGCAATAACATTTATGACTAGTAGCTTGGAAAGAGTTGCTGTGCCATAAAGTGTTCTATTGAGAAAGGTGTCTCCTAACTGTAACTATTGACACTGGAGAATCTAGATGCTGACTGAGTTCTGCGGTCACTTTGGCTGTAGTTGTTTTCTTTTTAGATTGCAGTTGACAATCGGCTACGATACCCGTTGGTCTCTTTCTGTCAACTTGTCCTTCGGACCACTATTTTGCTTTGCTAAGCTTGTCTTGCTGTGTTGTGTATATGCTGTCATGACCTTAGACAATGTATCTCTAGAAACGCCTAACAGCCGAGAGGTTTCGATCACAATTGCTCCAGCTAATCGGGCTCGTACAATTTGTCCTCATTGTAACTCTAAGGTCTGACATTTTACGCTTTTGATAAAATTCCAAGACGTATATAACTTCATTTAAGCTACCTCATACTACCATGATATGTCCTTTTTGTAATAAAAAGAAACTGGTTACTAGGATTATGCTTACGAAGCACATTCTTAAATGCCACTTTTATTCACAGTTGTTCCATTATTTTGACAACCACCTGTTATGCACAGACACATACATGCATAAGTACAAAGTATGAAATCCTGACTGTCAACATTTTTTTTTTTCTTTACAAAGTCTAGGAAAGGAGAATATGATCGAAAAAACAAGAAGCATGGAAATGTTTTTCTTCCAATTAGCTGAGATTCCTGTATGCCATTTTGATCACAATACATTGATTGATAGATGTTTGTATTAAAACATTCAACTGATAATTCTTAGCAGCTGTCTCAGTTGATCCCATGAAGAGACCTGGCAGGTTGAAGATTCCTCAGGTGGTCTCCTAAGAGAATCTGGAAAGGAAAAAGGGAGGCACTCTTACATCTAAAAAGTGATGTGTTTGGCAGAGAAGTAAGTTTGTCTGGAGAGGGAGGCATGTATTTTTGTTCGGAGGGTATGACTTCATGGACAAAGCTCTGCACATCATCTTGAGAAGCAACCAAGAGCCGTAGATTATAGTTTAGTAAGCAGCAGTGCAAAATTGAAGAAAATAAGTCAGGCAGTAAGGTGGTGAGTCCAACATTAACCAGTCCACTATTATCCCAAGGCCAGTATTAAAATAATTACTCATTTACTTTTAACAATCAGTGATCACAATACATTGAAACCCATCAGATGGCACTACTTGTTTAGTATTTTTGCATTTCATTTCCACTTCCTAAGGAATTACAGTATTGATTGATGCGAGCCACAACCACACTTCTGGCATTTGATTGGTGGTGGAGTAGGCAGGAGAACATTTTTCTGTCTGACCTAAACAATAAGTGAAACTCGAAGACATATTTATTTAGAGTAGGTTTTCTTTTCCTGGCATAATAACAGGAAGGCCCCCACCCAAAAAAAATTTACATTCCAAAGTACTTAAGTTCAATTAACATAGTAGTTTGCACTTTTACTTAACTTTGTAATTTGATCCACCTTATTACATTTTGAAGGCTATTATTCTTACAGCTATCTTATTAAAATTAAAGTTTCAGTTTTTGTATATGTCAAAAAGATTTTCTAATTCTGGAGCTGTAGAAGGATATGCAAAGCGAAAGCATGTCTATTACTTGTATTTTATAGCAGCTTTGGTGTAATTCAGGCTTAAGAAAGTGCAATTTAAAAATTAGACAAAACAATGAGTTTATTTTGCTGTAGATTTTGAATACTATAGAATGTGAAATTTTCCAATTAATGGAATTTTTGAAGAAATGTGAAATGATAATAAATGAAGATGACGTAACAATAATTTTTTATTGAAGTGACAAAGACCTATAATCAGCAATGAACTAACAGATAGCAAAATCTTGTGTGGTTTTAAATCCAGAAGATATCATTACTAATTTGTGAAGAAAGTGATATAAAAGATTTTTAGGGATTAAAAGATTTCAACTTGCAGTTTAATGGAAATTCTTGAAATGGCAGTTATAGAACTTGAACAGTGCAACTTAGTAACTAAATAAGAAATTATGTCTATAAATTAAAGATAAAGTATTAACACTGAAAATAAAGCAGTTTAAATAACTACATTGAAAGAAAAGTTTAATAAAACAAACAAGTAAATATTGAGCTTTTTTTTTTTTGGTAAATTTTGATTCATTATTTCTTAAACAAATGTTTCATATTTTTATTAAAAAATTTTTACATGTTATCGAACTAAATTTAAAGAGATGATCCCAAATCTGAGCTTGCGAAGTCCTTACAGTTGCGGATCTCCAACATCGTACTCTATTTCTTTTTCAAAGTAATATCTTTCACTCTGAGAATATCTTTGACACATTTTTATGAAGAATATCTCTTTTTAGCATTTGTGACTAGTGCTTTCATTATCATTAGCTGAACAAAATCTCTTTCCATGTTCTTTTCAGTGTTAGGAATGAATGCTTTGAAATCATATAATGCTAAGTCTAGGCTGTTTTAATGTGTTCTGGTGCCATATTATCAATTTCAGTCAATGCTGGTAATATCACAGGAGCTACATGCAGCTGGATATTGTCTTGCAGCAAAAACCAATTTATTGAGCAAATTTGAACTTTTCTTTCTTGTGGCTGCACATGAATAGGTTTTCAGAACATTTGCCTAATAATCACCATTCACTATCTGCCCATAGGAAATTCAGTGCTTTACGTTGAAGAACCTGTGTAAAGAGAAGTAGAAGAATTAATTTATTTGTCAAGAGTTTTTCATGAATAGTAATTTTTGATGGCAATTTTTTATTTCCCCATTAGTTGACTGTTGTTATTCTACTAAATGGCTACAACTAACTGCAAGTTCATGTACATTGATGTATGAACAATACAAAACAGGGTTATCACATCTAATGTTGCCTCAAAGCAAAGAAATATATACACTTTTAAAACTTTTCAATCAGTCCTTGTACATTTATAGTTAAGTTATATATGAAGGAGTACATTTAAAAATTGACCTTCTTTTTCAGAGTATAAATATTCTGTGTCTATGAGAAGATTTTTATGAATGAATTTGTAATGTGGAAGAAGAAGATTATTTTGTATGCTGCTGCTTTCACCGGGTAATACATTATATGCTTAATTTATTATTACTGTTATTTTGCTTTTCTGTTCATTAAATCATTAAGTAAAATAAATTCCTAACTTGCATAATTTCTACATAATCTTCTTATTGTATCTTATTCACTAAAAATCTGCTAGAAACTTTTTTATTATATTTTTAAAAATTTTTTCTTTGGTAGGGGAAAGTAAAAATCTTATTTTTATTGAGAAAAGGGACTTATCTATTTATTTTATAATATGAAATAAAATTCATGGATTTCAAATTTAATTTACAAACATGTATGACATGTATAAAAGTCGTAAATTTACTTATTTATTTTTAATAGAAATATTTTTATGCAGTTTTGATTTAAACAGAGCTAAAAAATATTTCATTTTTTTTTTTTAAATATAATTTATTTTGATTTTATCTTTTTACAAGATATGCAAGTAGTTATCTCTGAAACCCTACTTGAGGGAAACAATTCTGGAATTTCCAGTTATTAAAAAAAAAAGTCTTGTGAAATTTTTTAAACAGTTTTGATTTTGAAAATGTAGTAAATTCAAATTTTCTCCAATAAAAATTGTGGGTACTATTCGGTTTCGAGGGCCATAAAAAATCCCCAAGCTATTGTTGATGCCAATGCTGCCCAAAAATAATTGCAGCAACCCTAATAATTGCGGCAACCCTAACGCAAGAAAGGATGTATAATAATAACTAATTTATCTAAGATTGATTGTTTTTAATTTAGATGAAAGGTTAATTTCATATAATACTTTTTTATTATTATAATTTATATGGAAAGGCTAAACATGACTGAATGGAAGCATAAGAGTAAATAAACTATTTCAGATCATTATTATAATTTATATAAAAATTGGCTAAACATAACGGAATGGATGCCTGCATCGCTATTTCGCTACCGACTTATCGCTAAAGCATAATTTCATCACGTTGGTTGTTCAAACGTAATTTTCTATAATGAATGATGCCTTTTCTTTGAAAATATTCTCGGTAAAGTGCAGAATCGCTCACTTATTTGTTCGCCGCTTTTTACAAGGGTAAAAACAATTGGATTTTTGTCAATTTTCTTTTACTTTTTAAGTGAAAATAGGTCGATGTGTACATAGATAATGTCAAGGGTGTGCGCAGTGCCATTTTTGTGCAATTCTAGGATTTTTTTTTTAAGTGAAAATAGGTCGATGTGCACATGGATACCGAGTATGTGCAGTTCTTAAAATTGCGTCAAGCAGTGGGATGATTCTGCACTTTACCCAAAATTCTATTGCTGACTTTTCATCATGGGCAATTGTTAAATCCATAGGATATCAAGAAAAGTATTTAAAAATTAAACTAGTATTACAATGACGTCTTAAGGAATATAGAACTATATAAACTTACGCAATTTGAAATCAGTGCGTATGCTAGATTTGGCGCGCTGTTAAATGGGCATGTATGCTAGATTTGGCGCTTTTGCACATACATTTTCGTTGCAATTTTTTTACGGCCCTCAAAACAGAATAATACCAAATTGTGAAATAAAAATGCTGACTAGACTGGAGATTATGGGCTAGATGGCAAGTGACATGAAATCTCGCCAAATCTGGCTACCTCCCTTTTTTTATTGAAATTGTGCAAAGCTCCGAAAAACTTTAAGGTAGATTTATTAAACTTTCTGTATTAATTAATACAGATTTTGATTTAAATATAAATTCACAATCAAAGTAATTCTCATTAGGTGCAAGTATGTTACACGTGATTAAGCATGTGATTGAAATGAGTGCACCATTTTGAATTTTATATTCATTGTATTGTTATGTTTTGGTATACATATGAAGAAAAATGGTTTTCTACTATTTATTAGAAATCAACTAAATTACGTAGTTAAAATTGTATACCTAATTTTTTTTTTTTTTTTTTTTTTTTGTTTTACTATTTTCTATGGCTCAGGGTTCAGATGATCACGATTTTTAATTTTATCTTAGTTTTTCCTTTGCATTTTGTTTGGCTTTGATTTAATCTTAAGTTTTAGCCTATGTATGAATCAATATGTTTTCCTCATATTTACTGCTCATTTACTGTTATTACGATTTCTTAATTCTGTGATAAAATGTTTTATACTATATATTTAAAAATGAGCAATAGATATTGTGAAAATTGTTACCATTGTTGATCCCATAATATACATAGCTTTAAAATATTTTTTTTTTTCGAGAACTTTTGTTTTAAATATGACTTTTTTGCGTGTTTACAGGTTTCATTCAAAATCACAACTATATAATATGGATATTCGGTCAGTTATCAATTTTTTAAAGCACGCAAAACTTACCCATTTGGCTAATTGGTGATTTTTCGGAAATGCGCCAGACTGGCCCACACAATTATGCAGTTAACAAGTTCTTTTTATTTTATTCATCAAAACCACCCCAAATTTTGTGCTTTCCAAATTCTTATTTTAATCTATTAGGCTAAGAGTATTTAGAAAGATAAATTTAAACTGATATTGAATGGGAAGTGTAGTAAAAACATCTTAATTAGTGTGGAAATATAGTGCAAAGCTTATTTTATTTGTGACATAGTGGCAACACTAATTTTATGGAGAATTGTCTTCAGTATAATAGATCTAGTCTTCCATTTCATGTTAAAATTATAAATATTTAGAAGTTTCACAATAGTAATGTCTTTAAGAAATAAATATTTGACTAAACAGTATTATTTTGTAAAAAGTATTGAAAATAAAGATTGACATTTTTTATATGATTTATGTGAAAATGTAGTATTTATACTTTTCCCCCTTATCTGAAACCAATATGATATTTTTTTGCATGCTATGCTCGTTTTTCCATGTTCTGTTTTTTTCAGGAAACTGTCTATATTTAAAAAAATGGAATTATTTGTACTGTAGCTATTACAATCGAGTCCTGCTACAGACTTCAAGAGACCAAAAATTTGGTTTGCTGTATCCAGTCTGATAAGAAAAAAATGGATTATCTCAGGAAATAGTGTAAAAGTTGATTGATGAATCGCACAGAAGGCGTCATTAGCATTGTTACATCTGATGAATCACGCAGAAGGAATCATTAGCATTGTTACATCTGCTTAAAAATGTTAACAGTAATTTTACCGAAAAATATGAAGAGTTAACTACAATAATTAATATGTGCCATAGCTAAATTACTTTTTCAGTTTTACTATATATTTTTAATTTTACCCCAAAAAATTATTTGATACTCCTCTGTTATTGGGATCAGCTTCAGAAACGTATACACACATACATATGTACATGCATACATGAATACATACTTCCATACTTAAATGAATACATACATTTCAGAATCCAGTCCTGATAACAGAAGAGTACCAGTTATTTAACACAAAAGTCATGGCTTAGCTCTATCCCTCTAATTGCACATTTCTAGCCAAACTGTGCATTTAAAATTATGAATAAGCGTCAGCCTTCAGCAGAGTGCTGTTTGACAGCTCAGTCAAAGAACTGAAGCAAGATCTTTTTCTCAGTGGATCGATGGCTTTTTGGCTGAATGCATGACAAACTAGGATTCCTGTTATGTTTATTTGGGTGACCTGGTTTTCCAAGAGTTGAGTCCCACACCTGCCTTGCATAGCCTTTTATTTAAAACACAGAGCAAGGTGGGGATGAAGTAAAAGAATAGTAGCCTAAAGATGTTTTTAATTATTCTGATATTCTAAACAGGAGGAATTTAAGGTGAGTAACTTTTGAGTTAAAAGTTGCTGAAATTCTAGAAAAAAATTTAAAAAATAGAAAAAAGTGCGAGTCCAAGCTATTTGCAGAGTTTGTTGTATCCAATTTTTATGCATTTGGATGTTTGCTATATATGTACTCTCTATTGCAAAAAAAAATCGAAGCACCAAGAAGGACTTTTGCGATCGTGACGGAATTTGGTATGCAAAAACATCGTGATCGAACATGCAAATGATCAAAGTTTCAAGGCAAATGAACAGGAATTGCGATCATAGCGCACATTTCTAGTGCACAATTCGCAAAGTATAAAACCAGTAACAGAGGTGGAAAATTTATCTTTTTTGTTGCTGCCATTGTAATTCCATAAAAAAGCAACTAGAGATGCCAATACGACAATATTGAAGACCTTACAGACAACTAAATGACTTAATGAACATGGTCACATTGTAGGGTTGCTTGAAGCTGGATGGTCATACCTAGCAAAAGGCTGCCACCTGCAGCATACAGACACTGCTGTGCAAAGATGTTGGAAGCAATGGTTGTTAAAAGGAAATTGCCAACAAAATGAAGGCTCTGGAAGGCCAAGGAGCACAAATGCGAGGCAAGATAGGATGAATGTTTGCAATGCCTGAACCGCCCCAATGGTATCATTGTTGTCTATTAAACGCACTACAGCCACGTCTATACCTCTCGTGGTACTGTCCACCATCTCACAGTGCTTGTTCTGAGGTGGGATTGTGCTTTAAGACGTTTGCCCTAGACTCCACAACATCAGTGGAGTCTTTTGGAGTGCTGTTGCAGCCGATCATCATGGCTGCCATCGTATAGTGTTCAGCGATGAATCCCACTTCATTCTTGAAGCAGATGACAACTGTCTTTGTGTCTGGAGAGGACGGGGCCAGCGGTCCCAATCAGCCTCTGTTTTAGAAAGGCATATTGGCACAACCCCTGGTATGATGGTGTGAGGTGCTTTTTCTTATGAGCAGGTCATCCTCCATACATCTTTAATAGCTCAACGATATGTTGATACCATCCTGCGGCCGGTTGCATTACCCTTCATGGCACATCATCCTGGGGCCATTTTGCAACAAGATAATACCAGGCCACATACTGCTCGCATATCTCTGGAGTCTCCATGTGGTTAATACTTTTCCTTGGCCAGCAAGTTCACCAGACCTTTAACTAATTGAGCATGTCTGGGATATGGTAATTTGCCAGATTGGGGAACCACAAAATATCGTAGATCTGGAGTGACAACTGATGAATGCGTGTCGAAATGTGTTGCAGGATGACATTAG